GATACATAGATAGATACATAGATAGATACATAGATAGATACATAGATAGATACATAGATACATAGATAGATACATAGATAGATACATAGATAGATACATAGATAAGATCAATGAACTATTAATGAGGAACAAGGCATGTAACTAGAGTTTTGCTCCCCGCCCCCATCATCCCACCTTTCCTCTGACTTGACACATGAAGTAATTTTGAGAATTGTTTAATTGGCGCCCGCTTTTCTGATGCACAAAAGGAAATAGTGTGAAGTCTCATAGACATTCCGCACTGCTGAGACAAAAGCAGAGAGCAGAAAGCCCTCGTGCACTACTGGTTAGCACAGCTTGCTTTCTCTGTTTAGAGATGAGGCCACTTTCTTGCACAACTTTTGAAAAGTAAAACGCTGTTCTTTCACACACAAGAAAGCCCTCAAAGGGTGAAAAATGATGTTTGTTGAATTAAACCATCCACTAGAAGGTGTTTTTGCTTTTGTTTTTGTGTTTTTAAGGCTTTGATGTAATTCTACTAGCTTGTCTTTACAATAGGCTGTTAAGAAGTAGTAAATTGATGCTCAGTTTTATGATTTGATAAGTGTATCAAAACCCTTTCATGTTCTCACACTCCTAAAAAATGTTACAACTAAACGGTCTCTCCTAAGAATTAAAGGACAGTGAGAAGGATGGTCAGTTACAAGGTTATGGCCTTGGTGTCCCTCCAAGTTGTTCACTCCTTCAGAGTCAAGCTACATTCCCCGAAGATCACTTATAAACACTTCACATTCTGAAAAGACAGGAAATGTTGACTGTATACAGGAAGGAAAAGATTTAGGCTAACATCAAGTCTACTGAGTAGAAAATCTTTTCAGATATGTTCAGTATGGTGGGCAGAAGCCATGGTGAACTTTGTAGTTTTAACATGGGCACAGCCATGTCAAGACCCCACTAATTCAGACCCATGGGAGTGGCAAAATTCCCTTCAGTGAGGCTCAGAGGAGTGCCAACATTAATTTATTGCAGTAGATGATGTTTTGGGCCACGTTTCATAGTGAAAAGACTTTAAACCTGAGGATGTAACATACAATAATGTATGAAATAATTTAAGAAAATCATGCTTCTAACTTTTAAAACGGTCAGTGAAGAATCCTGACAGTAATACCAACATGCTGCTTGATAAATCTTCAAAGCTATACCGCTTAATTCAACATGGAGTTAACATAACAATACAGTTGAAGTAAAACAGGCATAGTGACTCATGCCACTAGTCCCAGCACTGGGAGGCAGAGGCCAGCTTGGGTCTACATAATGAAGTCCAAGCCAGCCAGTGCTGTATAGTAAGATCCTGTCTCAGAATATCTCAGAAAAGCCAAAATGTGTGTGTGTGTGTGTGTGTGTGTGTGTGTATTGGAGTCAATGTATAAATAGATAATTCAATCAAACAGTGCTGATATTTGAAAAGGAATGTTTGCCTCAAGTTAGTTTCAAGTTCTTAGGAATATCTATTAAACTCTTTCTAGTTTTAGCCCTAGTTGGCTGCTGAAAATAAGGAAGGAGCCACATTTCTCAGCTTGTCCATTATTGCAACAACTGTTTGAAGAGAGAAACAGATTACTGGCCAGTGTCTTCAGAAATTCCCTCTTTCTACACAAAACAAGGTGAGCAGGTAACCCTCGGGTGGTTTTGGGTTTTGTTATTTGGGGTTTTGTTTGAGGGGGTTGTTTTGTTTTCAAATTCAGCATCATGTCTGCTATACATGAAGCTTGAGAATGTAGGACCTCACGAAGGCTGTTAGTAGAGACAGAGTTACCCTTTTACAACATTTCAAAATAGACTAAATCTTATGATTGTTGCTTCTGTTCTGTTTCAATTGGGTTATTCAAATAAATGTTAAACCTTTATGTGTGCAGCCCTTCCTGAAAGCATCTGGTTTTTGCTTGATGCAAATGCATTATTTGCATTATTTTATCTGCCTGTGTTCATTTCTCACGAACCCCTGAGGAGCAGCACACTACTCAGAGACATGTTTTTCTCATGTTGTGGTTTATTAAAATCATAAGAAAATAAAAGTGTTGGTCATTGAATAGCTTACTCATATGTATACCACAGGAAAAAGAAATTTTGCCTCCATAGACAAATAATTCAGTGTAAGTATAGCAGCAGACACTGGCTACAGCTTTGTCTAGATAGTAGAACATGCTAGCTTAACTGCAGCCAGTTAAAAACACTTCCCCTTGAAATGTAGTTTATCAAGTTAATATTGAAATGAAAATCATTATGCACTATTTTGAAGTTCTTGGATCATCAGTATATGGAACTTTGTAGCAATAAAAACTCCAGTCAAGATTACTTATTTAATTTGTAGCTCATGAAGGAAAAAAATGTCCCATCACACATTAGATTATTTTAGTTTTTCAAATTGTTTTGGGGCTACCTTATTTAGACTGCTTATTTTTATGAAAAACACAAAATGTAATATGATCATAATGATATTATTATGACTATTATGAAAAAACACAGGGGAAATTCAAAGCTATAAAAATAATAAAATGACCAAAATGAGGTAATTTATTTCCATGTTATGCTGCACTAATACAAGTGATTAAGAACTGCCTTGATGTTCAGATTTTGCAGAAATTAAGTAACATTCCTTTTTTTTTAAGGATCTATTTATTTGTGTATGAGTGCTCCATCTGCATGTATGCCTTTATGCCAGAAGAGGGCAACAGACCCCATGAGCAATGGTTCTGAGTCACTTTGTGGTTGCTGGGAATTGAACTCAGGACCTCTGGAAGAATAGTCAGTGCACTTAACTGCTAATCAGTCTCTCTAGCCCCAAATTAAGTAACATTTCAGTTATTTGAATGAATGCTTAATCAAGCCAACTTTATGCTTTGGTCCATAAACTTGTTTTAACCTAATGTTTTTCACTGCAACTTTCCCCATGAGATTACATGGAGTTTGGGTACTTCTTCTTTCATAGTTTTCTTGCCTTATTTATTCTTTTGGTGTGCATGTGTGTGGTTGGGTGTGTTATGGAACACGTGTGGTGGTCAGAGGACACCTTGCAGGAGTTTCCTCTTTTCTTCCACCAGACAGGTTCTAGGGATCAAGCTCAGATCATTAGGCTTCACGGCAACACCTTTACCCACTAAGTCATCTCATTGGTCCCGGGTCTCAGTGCTTCTGGGAACTCCAAAGTATGTGGGTAAAAGTTATCTTTTCTGTCAAGTGAAAAATTAACTTGAAATAGAGATTATGGAAGAAAACATAGGAAAGAATTTTTGCAACCTTGGGGTGAACAAAAGGTTCTGAGATGGAATACAGAAAGCAGAAACTCTGAAATACATGTTAAACTGGTCTCTATCATAATTTAAAGCCCTGTTCGACACAGAGTCAAACTGTAATACAAGACAAAAACTAAAGAAAATAATGAGTCCATTATCAGAGATGTATCGAGAAGAAGTCAAGATGGGCAGGAAAGAAGACTCAGCGGTTGAGAGCACTTCCAGAGGACCCAGGTTTGTTCCCAGCATCCACGTAATGGCTCACAACCATCTGTAACTCCGGTTCCAGGGGACCTGCCTCCTTTTCTGCGTTCTGAAGGCACCAGGCATGTGGTGCACAGACAGACAGACAAGCAGACAAAACACTCATACACATAAAACAAATCTTAAATATGTTAAGTAATAAATCAAGATGTGTTTCTACATTCCAACATTAAAAATGTCCAACAAACACTTCACAAAAATATGCACAAATGAAAATCAAAATAAGAGAAAAACAAAAAAAGGATATAAATGTCTAACAAGCAAATGAAAACAAATTCAGCAGCATTAATCAACAGAAAAATGCTAATGTCTACTGAATACCATTTCACAGTAGGAAAATGGCAAAAACTAAGAATAAGCAACACCAAACTCTGGCAACCATGCCGAGTAAGTGGAGCTCCTAGGTGACATTGTCCGGGCCAGGGGTAAGTGGTACATTTTTGAAGAACTGTTTAGCTTTTCCTGTGTAATGATTCATGCTAACTGTCAACTTGGTAGAATGTAGAATCATGGGGCCTCTGGTGGATGCCTATGGGGGATTATCTTGATGATATTAGTTGATGTGAGATCCATTTTAATTGTGGGTGCAACCATTCCCTAGGCAGGAGATTAGAACTATGTAAAATGGAGAGACAGTGAACCGAGCCGTTCACTCCTGTTCCTCATTGTGGATGTGACGTAAGCAACTACTCCAGGCTCCTTTTGTCTGCACTGACCTTCCATGATGAACTACACCTTGAACTGGGAGCAAAGATACAGCCTTTCTCCTTCAATTACGATCACCAGAGTGTTTTATCACAGCAATAAGAAACTGAGATCGCTTACAAAGGAAAACATACTGTGACCCAGCCACTTCTAAATATTTATATGGGAAAAATTAAGATTTAAGTCCGCAAAGATTGTATAACACAGGGAAAGATTGTGATGTGTTAACACAATGGAATGCAATTCAGCAATAAGAAGAGACAGTGCTGATATGCACAGAATGGATGGACTTCACAGGCTTGGTGCACAAAGAAAGCAATTGAAAGAGGTTGTGTCTCATAAATCCATTCACATAAATCTAGGGACAAGGCCAGTGAGATGGCTCAGCAAACAACAGCACTTACTTGCCACTGAACCTGATGGCCTGAACTCTGTCTCCGGGATCTACTAGATAGAAGGAAAAAACAAGCCCATGACATGCGTTCCCCTCTTCCCACCTACATACATAAATAAATGCAATTAAGAAATGTTTGAGCTAATCATGCTGAAAATCCATAAATAAGCAAAGATAATCTAATAGTAATAGAAATTGAAATACCGATGGTTAGAGGGAGGAGTAGTGTCTGGACTACAAAGTGTTATTTATAGGGAGGGGAACTTTCTAGAATGATTTAAAGTTATCCATCTCAATCAGCCTGTGTTTTGTCAGAGCATTTCAACTGTACACTTGAAATCTGAGTATCACCATGCCACTCACTTATGCTGCCAAAACACTATGCTTAGATAAAGAAAAAGATTCAAACTCAAAACTGTTGCTGACATCTATAACCCAGGGGTTCACTGTTCTGAGGAGTAAAACCATGGTTTCTGGAACTTTGTCTGTCTGCTCTTGATACGTACATACCAATTCTAAACAGCTGGTAGACTGTAGAAGTTTCAGTCAAGTTGAGTTAAAAAATATCGCTGTAACTCCGTGATGTTGTTAATTGAATACTTTTTGATTGATATTAATTATTTTATTGAAAAGTCCTTCTGTATGGACAATGTTCTTGGCACCAGGGTACAGCAATGATCAAGTCCCTATGCCTCTTGCCTCACAGAGTTTGTAGAAACACACAGTGAAAAGATACGCAAATGAAAGAGTGGGCAGATAGCTCGAGTTGTCCATGAATACAGTGAAGATAAAATATTTATAGGATGAAATATATAACTATATTTTACTCATTGCTGAGACAGGAAATGTGAGCCACATTTGTTTGCATTTCAAATTATCCTATGGTTAGCTTCCTCATGATCACAAAAGATCAACTCTTACCCCTTTTATTCTCTTTGTTTTTGTTTTTGTTTTGTTTTTTTTGGTTTTACGAGACAGGGTTTCTCTGTTTTGGAGGCTGTCAGTCCAGCCTGGCCTCGAACTCACAGAGATCCACCTGCCTCTGCCTCCCGAGTGCTGGGATTAAAGGCGTGTGCCACCAACGCCCTTTTATTCTCATTGTACAGAGAAAATTCTGTTTCAAGCCAAGTGGTGGTGACACACACCTTTAATCCCAGCACTTAAAGGCAGAGGCAGGTGGATCTCTATGAGTTCCAGGCCAGCCTGGTCTACAGAGGGAGTTCTAAGACAACCAGGGCTACACAGAGAAACCCTGTCTTGAAAAACAAAAACAAATGCAAACTGCTGTTGTTTCAAAACATGAAAACATGGAGCCATGTTTCACTTGCGCACATTTATATTCTCACACAGTCTTTTAAAAAGGACAAATTGACAGTTCATCAGATCATTATACAGAAATTAAAAGCACAGGATTTATATTTAAAGAAAAAGCATAGGACATGCAGATCCACCATTTCCATTTTACTGAAACTCCCAATTCTCCCCAGGGTGTAAATATCTAAGGAGTTACCTAATCTAAAACATAAGCTCGAAGTATCGGCGACAATGAGACTACATACCAACATGTGCATCCTTATGGGCGTAGGCCAGGGAGTAAACATGAGTGCTGGAAAACTCTGGTTAGCACTCACGACACTGGAGTGGTTTCAGTCTTCACTTGACCCACAGATACCAGTTTTAATCACCTATTATAGACTGCCACAACAGCATTGTTGCTTTTTATCTCTTTATTTATTTTAAATAAAGGACTGAAGGATTTGGCACCTTAGAGTTTTAGCTATGTTTGACACCAGTGAAAAGCTAAAAATTGTGGTAATCTATCTCAGGTAAGACGGCAAATCTTGTACAAACCCAGTTTTGTTTTCATTCAAAGCCAATCAGGATACAAACTATGACAGGTGCAATCATCTCCTGGACTTGTAGCTTCTACAGTGCACTCAGTACCACCCTGGAACACAGCTCTGCTTTTCCTTATAAATTCTTGGGCAGTTCAGGAAGAACAACAGGCATCATTAGTCATTGTCTGCTGGGAAGCAGAGGCCTGCCGGGGACATACGTGATCTGCTGTCTTACTCATTATAAGAATGGAAATAAAGCGGGAACCCTGACTTGTCCTTTCTGGGCTCATCTTCTAACATTTTCTCTGTACCAAACAATTCACATGGGAGAGAAACACGCATTGTCAGCAGTTTCGTCCTAGACGAAAGACTACATTAGTGTTCATTTGCCTTAGGAAATAGTGACAGTGGTGATGGTAACGCTTGAGAAACTGTGAAGCAGGGATGGAAATGAAGGCACGGAATTAACATGAGGCTTACAGCTACATTCTTGACACTTGAACAGAACAGAAACAGGGGACAAAAGATTATTCACATAAATATTAATAGCCAAGAGAAAAGCAGACAGGGGTAGGTTATACAGACAGAAGAGGAGGAGGAGGAGGAAAAGGACTCTCATTTTCCTCCATACTCTAAGATACCAAGATTAATAAGTATCTCCTGGGCTGCAGCTCCTTGACAGAGTGCCTGCCTAGCATGTGGGAGGCCTGTATTCAATCCTCAGCACTACAAAGGCAAAGGATCTTTTCTGTAGGTTGCAGGTCTCTTAATCTGGAGGGTTGTTAGAAGCACAGGCTTTGAGGCTAGACGTATCAGAACTGGAGTCTTGGCTCTGCCATGAGTCAGTAGTATGTAGCATTCTTTGTACTGGTTCAGAGTTCCTTGAGAGTAAAGCGACTTCATGCAGTTGCTGTTAAGATTAAATAAAGTAAGATGGGCACGCAGTGTGCCTGGCTCACAAAAGAGACTCAAATAGCTCTTGTTTCTCTTCTCCTCTCTTCCTATACAGTTCTTATCAAGCCGTGCTTTGTGTAACCAGGTACCTGGGTGTGTCTTATCTTTTCTCCTCACTAGACTTTAACCTCTGTAATGATGGAGAGAGCTGCTTACTCATTTCTGTTCCCCTGAACATTGTTCTTACCCGGAGAAGGCTCTGGAAAAGCTACATTGACTGTTACTTTTCGTAACCCAGCAAGCACTCAGCATTTTAAAGAAATAGTAATCTCCCTCTTAATTAGGTGGAAGCTTTTATTTTATTTATTTATTTATTATTTAGGATTTTCAAGACAGGGTTTCTCTGTGTAGCCTTGGCTATCCTGGAATCCACTCTGTAGACCAGACTGGCCTCAGACTCACAGACATGCATCTGCCTCTGCCTCCCAAGTGCTTTTTTGCCCCACTAGCTTTTATTTTTATTTTTCTAAGATGTCATTTAATCAGTAGCCTTTATACTTCAGATGGGCAATCTTCTGAGGATCTATTGGGCTGTTTGCATGATTCAGCTGAGGCTAATTTCCGAGATGGAACCCACACACAGCAGGAGTCTCATAAGATTATAATGTACCTGGATCAGGAACATATAACTGGAGAAGCAAAGAGAAAAGGGAGTTAGCAGGAAAACGAAAGTAACCCCAAGAAAACTCACAGTTGGTAGGGTTAGAAGAAGCTTTGCAGACCTCAATGACCCTTTTAAAAAGTGAAAACGGGGCCCACAAGATGGCTAAATAGGTTATTATTCCCACAAGGGGAAGGAAAGGACAAACTCCCACAAGTTGTCTTCTGACCTCCACATGTATTCACTTGAACACCACACACACACACACACACACACACACACACACACACACACACACACATAAATGAAAATATAATTTTGGAAAAATGGAGGAAATATGGAACCAACCATGAAACATTTTTATCAATAGAACACTCAACACTGCACTATCTACTTAGAAGCAAACCTAGAATGAAAAGAAATATGGTCCCAAGAGCACCACCAAAGACACATTTCTGAAAGGGCACCTACTCACAAAAAGCCTTAGGCACTTCTTTGGGGAATGTTATGGAAGATCTTGTCATCCAGGAAATGAAAGCTCCATTTGTGTTACTGACTGAAGTAGGACCAGATGTGGGGGAGGTGGAAGTCAGTGATTTAGATTACCCAACTTTAAATAAGCCTAGACAAATTTGTGTGTTTGTTTCTTTAAAGAAGTGTTTTTTAATTCTTTATTAATTCTTTGGGAATTTCATACCACACACCCTAGTTCCACTCACCTCCCAGTCTCCCCATATCCTCCCCTCATCCTTGCAGCGTTCCCCCAAAAGAAAATAAAAAAAAAACAAGGTAAGCAAACAAAAAGAAGAACAAAACAAAAACCAAATAAACGTCTCCATCTTTCCCATTTCTTCAACACCTCTTCCTTTGTCCTGGAGGCTTTGGGAGCTGTGGCATGTCACACAGTGTATCCTCTTGTCCGATCAGCTTTACTAGCAAATGTTCATTGCGATGAGTCACTGGTCTAGTTCAAGGCCTCTAGTCTCCAGTTCACCTTAATCACTGAGTCCTCACCAGAACTACTACTCTGGCATATCTAGATAGCAGCGGCCCTGAGTCATGGAGATCTTTCTGGTATCGTTCCACAGGACGAGTCCCTTTATGAGCTCCAGCAGGTCCTAGATGGGGTAGATGTTAGAGTGGGCCAACCCAAGGTCCGGCTGTGGGCCTGAGTGGTAGCTGAGCTGGTCAGTCCAGGTGACTGGAGCTGTCCGAGTCAGGCAAAGGGACGAGACACCTCCCCTATGCCATGCCTTCCAGGTCAGCTCTCCCTCACCTGTAGTGAGAGAGGTGGAGCCATGTCTCTGAGTGCAGGGGTCAGCTCTTCAGTGAGGGTTGGGGCCGTCTCTCTTGCTGCAATGTACAGCAAGAGGCAACCCCAGCTTTCTCAGAGCCACTGAAGGGTGGGCCTGGCTCAGGGTGGACCTCTGAGTTCATCACATATGGTGATACAGGCCACTGGACATCAACACAGACCCCAGCTGCAGCAGAACCATGGACCTAGACATGGCCCTCGGCAGCTTGGACCCTGACAACATACCAGCTCCAGGGGGAGGCACTGGCCACTCAGATCAGGATAGCTCTATTGGTGGCATGGCCCCTGGACACCAACAAGGCCACAGATTGCTGCCCTAACCCCATTTTCTGTGTGACCTTTGGTAGCAGTATAGGCCTCATACTTCAACACAGACCCCAGCTGCAGTAGGACCGCAGGCCAGACTCAGCAGCAGCTATGAATGCATA